GGGCCAGTGCTAGATCATATAATAGGCAAATATGTAGTGACTTATGTACTTGGCCTCAATAATCTGATATCAATACTTTTTATTAGAGAAATACACAGCACTCCTGTACTTGGCGTAGTTTTTTACACGTAAGTGTTTTTTGGGGGATATAGTTTGCGTTGATTAGTCATTGACTCTATTCAAAAATCCAATCAACTTTCCGTGGATTTTTCAGAGAATTTATGAAAATTGAAAAAAAATCTATGGTTAGCGTATTTTTTCCGTCGAAATTTATGAAATAACGGTAAGTCGAGGCAAAAGTCAGCGTGAAAATTTGCGTTCATCGGACCTGCTTGGGTAGTAACAGTAATATGAACAAATTTTGGTTATATGGTTATGATACCATAAATACAGTTCCTTTAACTGCAAATATTTTACTATGCCACAGACTACTTCTTAAAGCAAGGCATTATATGAGATGTCGACGAAACTATAGGAATGTGCATCCTCATTTGTTGCCACAGTTGCAGCGATACATGGTTCATATTTTAAGGTTGAATCTTCATACGGGCGCCAATGTTCGGACGTAGGATTTTCGTTAGTGGAAAATGACAATTTTTCTCCAAACAGCTAGTATCCACCAAAGTACCGCGTTCGAGCGCTAGTGCCTGTACGAAAATCTAGCCTTAAGCAATAAACTAATAGCAAATTGCCTGCAAAGCTGGCAGTGTTGTTAAATTCTCTAAAAATTAATCCATCACTATTCACCGATAATCAGTGAATATTCAATCGTAATTATAAGTATACCACTGAAACTTATATGAAGGATAACATTTAAAATTTGAAGGTGATGAAGAATCATTGGTATTACAAATATAAAGTATTATAATATTTGAGAAGACTGTCAACATTCCAAAATAATATAATAACTATTACAAAGAATGTATTGAATATGTATTGAAAGATATGCGAATATGTATAATTACTAAAAAAAAAAGCGTGAAAGTGTGTAGTGCAAACGATATGAATATTTATGATGTGTTGAAAATCTTCGATGAGGTCCGCTTTCGTAGTATTCAGTTATTTATTTCTTAGTGTTTGATCTCATTTTTTCAAAAACTACGTTCAAGTCAACCAATGAATAGGCATTTCGTCTAAGTTGCATTTCAACGAATTCTTTAAGAGCATCGTATGCAGATATCATGCCCCGTGTCGTCGGTGTTACAAAACCTGAAAAACATGTGTGATAAATTCTGATGTTTTCATTCAGGTTTATTATTCATTTGAATGATATTGGTTACTATACTTACACTTATATTGTGGCTGGTGTATATTAAACATATGACGATAGAAACAAAACTGATTGTACAGTTTTATTTCTGAGTGCTAAAAATATCAATGATTTCATGAAATGGTAGTATAGAAGTATTATTACATATATCTAACAGTAATTGTACAGTTAAAAAAAGAATGGAACAGCTTACAATTCGATGCATAACACCATCATCACATTGATCGCATTTTGGATAGTTCTTATCAAAATCATTTGGCATTTGTCGTGTCACGTTACCACAAATTGGACTTTCACATTCAATGTGACCAATATAATATTCAGTAATAGCGTTTCTTATAGCAAGCTGTAAGTCGTTTTGAATAGCTTTAGCATATGTCCATGGTGGTACATGGCAATTGACATTGGAACAGGCAAATAATGCTGGCTGATTCTTAGAATGCTGTAATAATTATTTACATTTCAGAAAAAGAAACTTCAGCTTTACTTTAAAGAGTACTTACAAATTCAACTAATACATCCGTAAGCGTGATTTCAGCTAGACATTGTTCATTGCGGCACTTGAACTTAAAAGGAACACAGTATCTGTATCTGTCTTCATTCAATGATAAAGGGATTTCAATATCCTGCTCCTCGTGGATGGTTCGTCTAGACTTGTAAATGTGTGTTAAACCTATGAAATAATACCATTTTTATTAAAGAGAGAAGTATTTTATGAAATTGAAATACTGATCACGTATATAAAAAAAATTATTATAGTCACATCTTGTTTACAAAATTATTTATAACTAATAGAGCTATTCCGCAGAATGCATTTTCATTAAAAATATGTGTTTACTTATGATAGATTTAGATGCAGCCTTAGATTAATAACTACGTTTCCATCGTATAAGATTTAAATAATATTAACCAATCGTGTGCAATATTTGAGAAGAATATACGAATGTGATTGATTGTTCTTACTTAAATCGTGCACAATGGTAACGTAATCCATATTACCTAGATCCTTTGCCAACAGGACATCATCGATACTCTGTATGGGATTGCAAATACGCAGAACGACAGGAAATATTTGATTCATTAGATAATAGTCAGTATCCACTTTTAGCGTATCATTCTTCTTAAATTCATCAATGTGATATGCCCTCTCTGTTGCTGTTTTATTTGTACCATCCTAGAATTATAGATAATCGATTGACGATGCTAAATATATATTGGAAAGTTCATTCTCTTCTTGTAATTTGCATACATTGCATATAATATATGGAACGATGTCTCCACTTTTCCACATTCTTCCGCCCTTTTTGTTTAGTCTCAGTGCTACAATAACGTGTGGGTGTTTTTGATCAGGGTAGTCTTCCGGATTCTTGGAAAGTTGTTTTGTAATAACAAGTGATGATAGAGGCACTTGACCTTCTCGAACAGATTTTGCAATATTTTGCAAGATTTCGTGAATGCTTTCCAATTTCATGTCCAGAGATTTATCGTAGAAAAGTTGATCCAGAATATTTCTATCATTAAAAAAATTACATAATTTTATGTATCTTAAGAATTGGTTGGAATACGAAGTGTTAATTTGACCGCTGAGAGGTATAATTGGACAAGGACAAATTATATGTTGCTAAGATGTTTAGCTCTACAGCAGTTTGGGGCAGTACGGTAAATAGTTTTAGTAAGAAATACATATAGACTCGAACGTTATTAGATTAGCATCACAGTAGGTTCTGCAGTAACATGACATACACTCATTGAAAAATTCGTACATCGAAAAATATATTATTGATTTTCTAAGCATTAAAAGAGATGAGAAAAATCTTTGTTGGAAATAAGCCCAACGAGATTAACGATAAGTATCATGCAGTTTATATTAAAACAATTCTCTAATTCAAGGAGCCTTGGCATTCCTTGCAGCAGTCTTAAAACACACATATTCTCAACTGAGAGTAATAAATATTTTTAAAAACATTATTATTATTATATTGCATATTATTAACTCACCTGCCAGCCTCGCAAGCTAAATGGGACCAGTCTCGTCTCACTATATCCAGACCCTTGTGCTCTTGAACCATATTTAATTGACCATTCGGCAATTTGTTGATCGTAACAGCAGCGTACTTTTTTTTTTGCAAGAGCAACAAATAGCGGAATACACCATCGATATCTAGTTCCACTTTCGTATACAATTTGTTGACTTCCGTTTTAATCTGTCGAAATTTAATTTATTTCAAAATATTGAAAACATTTTGAATAATTGAGAAAGGGAAAAAAATCCATCAAGCTTTACTTTTTTGCCGACGTTAAACACTTCATCATAATCGACAAGATGAGTGTTAATCATTAATGAATCGGTATCTCCATAAATTACTTCATAATTTAACCTTTCTACCAAGTGCTTTGTATTTTGTAAGATTTCTCGTCCTTTTGCTATAATATACGCAATTCATGATGAATCAAATATGGAAATATCGCGTAGACAAATTTAATGAAATATTGTACCAGTTACTAAGGCAGCTAAGCCTTTAGCATAAAATCGACAATGAGTGGCTCCCAAGCATCCATACATGGAGTTTGCAGTTAACTTCAAAGCAAGTTGCCTGATATTATATTGCGTTTTTAATTCAGGTTTAATATATGGAGATTTCATAAGTTTCTTAATTTCAACACGACTTTCAACTAATTTACGTATTTCTGTTGGCACGATTCCTGGTTCTAAACTTTCTTTGGGAATTATTAAATCCTGCAAAGATTTTATTGAAATTAACGAAATTTTAATTTAATCTATTCTCTACATATACTAATAATAAATTGAATAAATAAAAGCTTGTCAAACTTGCCGCGCTATCAGCATAGGCAGCCCCAGGAACGGTCGTAAAACATAAATTATATTCTTGAATAATACTGGGATAGAGAGAATTGAAATCCATTAGTAAAATAAGCGTGTCATAGAAACCTTTCTTTGGTTCTAAAACTAAGCCGCCCTCATAAGCTGCTTTCTTTTTTCGTCGCTTTCCTACAGCACATTCAAACACATGATTTTAAATAAAATGGAATGAGGACATATAACGAAAATATAATAAAATATTGTAAAAAAATATAGGAAAAAAGTTGTGATTGACAAACAGTTTTAGTGTATTTTACCTTTGTCGTTCTGAACCAGTCTTTTATCTGGCGTGATATATCCTTTTTTGTTAAAGGCGTGTAATAACAGAAATTCATTTCGCTCTGCACGTCCAGCCGATAGCGTCCGAGACAAAATATTTCCTACGTAATTTTCGTAAATCTCAATCAAAACATCACTTTAACTGATTTGTGTAGAAATGCGTTGACCATAAAAATAATCCTACCAGCTATGCAGGTCAGTTGTAAAGCAAGAGGCATAACATTCAGTTCAAACATGATTGTGATAATATATGATGCTTCAGTCATCGTCATCCGAAGTAGATCTTCCAATTTTTCTTTTGAACTGTAAAACTTTTCACACTCTACGGGATTAATCTCTTTACAGTCATCCTCCTTTTTATGCAAAATCTATAATCATACATTGAGTTAATAATGCAATATTATTTGAATTAAACTTGATGATGAAACTTACCGCTATGCAGAGTGATTTTAAGTCGAAGCTTCGAAGTTTCAAATTCAATTCTTTAGCAGAGTTTTGAATGTCACAAATTGGACGACCGCAACATACTTGAGTGAAATTGACCTTATTCTAGAAAATAGAAATTTAATTAATATTTGAAAGTGCTCTATTAATTTCTTATTTGAACTGCTTTTTTAAAATCGGATATGCCGTAATACTTTTCATTCCGAAGATGCATTCGTTTAATATTAAATAATGCACTAAATGAAAATTTGTCGTCAATATAAGTACTTTTAACTTTGCGCCGTCTACGTCACAAAAAATCGCACAGCCGGCTACGTGGGACTGACAGACCCAGTAGCCGATAAGGAATCACCTAAAGTTTTATTAATTATTAAATGACCATTAAATAATAATCAACTACGGGAAACAGTAGTAATGTAAAAGAGTAGTGAAAACGTTATAAGAAATTTTGAAAATACAATTAAAATGATGGGCCAGTGCTAGATCATATAATAGGCAAACATGTAGTGACTTATGTACTTGGCCTCAATAATGTGATATCAATACTTTTTATTAGAGGAATACACAGCACTCCTGTACTTGGCGTAGTTTTTTACACGTTAGTGTTTTTTGGGGGATTATCCCCTACTATTATATTTAAATATAGAGTCATTATTATTTTTACGGTCTTTTTAGATGTGGGAAATTTTAATCAAATTCGTAAAAATGTTATCACAAGAACTTAAACAAGTTGAAATCGTGCGTTGTTTCCTATTATATCAGTCATAGATGGTGGCGGGTTAAACACCTAATTTCGAGCTACTAGTCAACAGGATGATTTCTGTTACTTATTTAACATCGCAATGTAATGCTTGTAATACAAAAACATACTTAAAGGGAAATAAGCTTGCTCTAAGACGTGTGTACGCTCCGAATGATGTCATGGCAATTATTTTCATAGATGAATTAATGCCGCGCTCGCGTTATCGTCAAGCCAGAAGTGCTGTTCATTTACAAATCCAAGTATTCTATTTTCATCCAAAACTCACTTCTTCGTACAATTCTTAATTCAATCAGATATCGGTTCACTTGGAATTTTAAATACATACATACATTCGTAGTCCCACTTTTTATTTTGCGATGGAAAACGTATAAAGTACTTCTATGTGTTTCATACAATCTTACATTCACCCAATTAAATTGGAGGTTTACTATTTACCTTGAAAAGTGGAGGCACTGAACGTTTTAGTTTACCGATCCTGCTCCAATGTGGTATTTTCAAGTCGATAATTCTATGTATTAAGACATCCAGTTGAAATGCACAATCATGACCAACTAATAAATCAGGGTCAGCATCATTTAGCAGTTCCAGCAATTTTTCAATTAAATCATATTCCGTTTCGCAACATATCACTTTTGTTTGTTGAAGTTTTGAAAGGTAATCCCGAGCATGCAGTGGCCAGGTGGTGCTTCGAGGATGAGTTACCACTATAAAGTTTACAAGACATTTTGTTAAGTATTCAGATACTTGTAAAACCTTGATTTTATTAGAGCATAATGCCTACAACAAATATGTTGCTGAAACGGTGGCTTAGGTGGCGTTTTATCAATTTGATATTTGCGATGAAGTAGAATTGCCACCATCAAAATCTCGTTTCTTTGCAATTTTAAATTTAAAGCTGTACGGATGTTTATTGTTGCCAATACCATTGGAGGGGGTGATGTATTTTGAAGTTCCATAGGCACAGAAATATTTTCCATTTTCATGCAACTGACCTAAAAATAACGTTCTTTCATTTGCGTTCCCATTTTTCACCGATTTTTTTCTAATAATTCTTAAGCTTTGCATATTGCAAACGTACTTGGATTTTACACCAACTGTTAGAATTTTGTGATGGCACTGGGCATTTAATATCCAACCAACAAGGACCCTTTATGTTTCTTTCAATAAGTAATAGTTCAAGAGCACTGACAGAAGATCCAAAAATGTGCTCAAAAGTGTTTCCAGTATAATTTGAATCTATAGGTGGATAAGAAGCGGAATATCGCACCTCTAAATAATCGGAATATGTAGGAACACCTTCCTTATCAAAAGCATACAATTTTGAGACTTTGCAGGAACGAAACGTTTTTATGCCCATTTTATTTGCATATTGATTAAATTCTTCATAAACGTCTGTTATGCTGACCTGCTTTGCCGCTAAGGTAGATTCGTTTTCACATTTCATCTAAAATTATGATGAATCTTAATAATAAATTATGATAATGCAGACAATGACTATAAATGCTGTGTACTCTTATTAACTCACATATTCTCTTGGTAAAAGGTAGAATCTTCTCTCAATATTTTTTACCATCAAAGAACAAGAAACATGGGTTTTAATGGACTCCATGTAAACTTTGCCAAATAGGAATACAACTCCAGGTTGTTTATAAGGATCTTCTAATGCATCCCACCAATAAAATCGAAATATTTTATTTCCAGCTTCATCTGTTATAAGTGGTAAGGTATCTAAGTTAACTAAAACTTCATTAGGCGGCTGTACACCAAAATCATTATCCCATGATTGTTTAGGCAAATCAACATCATCCATTATTTTCGCATGTTCAAACGAATCTTTTGGCTTTTTAGAATCTGTTACATCACAGTAATCTACTTGTTCTAATAATCCTGGGCATTCCTCAAATACTACATTCATTTCATGTTCAACATTTACTTCTTTACTCTTTTGTGATGTAGATTCAACAGAATGATTCAATTGCTTTGCTGCATCAATAATATTATTTTTGTTGGTATTATCTGTAATTATTGATTCCTTATCTATAATGGATTCTTTATTCTTGTTAATGGTAGCATTTTTCTTTATATGTGCTGACTCTTCATGTTTGAGGTTTTCACCTTCTCTTTTAGTTTTTTTCGAGTCCACGTAACTTAAAGGAAATATATAGTCAAATAAATACAAATAATGGAGTCTTCAGGTAACAAGAATAGTTTATAATGTATATGTTAAAAACTCACGAAACATTTGGCGTTGAACTTGTACAAATTTTATTTTGCATAACCTTTTTTTTTGGTTCTGTTGCAATGGACTCATTTTTCAATTCAGAAAGTAGTTCTCCGAAAATGGTGTCATCTTCGATTTTACTTAGAGCTTCCTTTTTTGATGGTGCATTCATAAACATAGATCTGATGTTTCCCTTTTTCTTTAAATCTTCCTTTTTCTTTTTCCTTGGGCCTGATTCTTTATGTTTGGCAGCTTGTTGAATACTTTCATCATCCAAATCATCATCAAAAATTTCTCTTCCATCTTCAATATAACCATGACCATCTATCCAAAAATATTAGCTTAGCTTTGAAATATTATAATACAACAGTGTAAGTAATACTAAAATAATATTGATAAATATTACTTACCATCGTCAATAATCCAATCATCATTTTGCCTCTTCAGGACAGTTTTACTATATTCCCTCTCATCTACTTCATCATAAATGTTCTCCAATTGGTTAATTTTATATTTGTGTTTATTACCTTTTAGCTGTTTGAGTTTCTCTAAAGCAGACAATCTTCCATGTTTATCTACCTTTTTACGCTGGCTTCGACCAGGCAAACACGGTTCTAAAATTGAAACAACATATAAAGGAAATTAGTATTTTGTAATGTAGAAAAAATCTAAAGGATACTGGTATAAAAATAAATCTGAAGGTATTAAAATTTTGTCAAACATTAATAATTGTTAATAACATGTCCACAAAAAATTATCATTTCATTTCTTTATTATTTCTACTACTCGTTCAGTTCTCATTTATTCCAAATATGCATATATTTTTTTAAGTCTCGACTGTATACATTTTTTTAAAACATACAATTATAAGTATAATATATATATAATAATAAAAAATGAAAATATTTCTCCTTTACATCAATGTTACAGCTACGAAATTTTACTTTTAAATATTTGTACAGTGAATCATTTATATATTTCTGTAGATCTTTGTCAAAAGTAAACAGTTTTTATATTCGTTATTATGATTGTTATAGGTATATTCAAATTACATTCTGCAGAAGTTTCATACCAAATTATTTTTATCATAAGTATTTTACAAAACACTTGCCTGGAGTTTCATCCATATTTCAATGGATTATATACGTGGTATCTTTAAAATGAAGATAGAATTATATACCCCAATTGTCCTGATGTATAACACGTAATTAAATTATTGAATAATAATAAAAAGCAGAGGAATGTATATTAGAGACCCGCGTTACAGAACAGATAAATGTTATTACATTTAATTTCGTCGTAGCCTGTATAGGTGTTGTAAGTTGCTGCCGTCAGATAATTTTGGCGGGAAATATCGATATGCATCTCTAAGGCCCTTCGATTAATCGTATGACTAGATAGCCATTTCCCGCTATATCGACAACCAACAATAACCGCTAACTTCACTGGTGAGAATTCGTGATATTTAACGAACGACGAGGTGTAAGTTTTTATTTATTCAGAATTGTACATTTATTTTGGTTTTGAAAAGTTTAATAATCTCATATTTTGTTTATTATTGTCATAATAGTATACGCACCTTCGTGAACTTCATTGTATTTCGCTAACATGTCTTAAACTTTTCTAATATACTCAAACCGAATATTTTATAGAGTAGTTGTATTTGGAGTATATACGATTTTTAATCTTTGTGATATCAATTTTAGTTTCCTAACCTGATCCTAAAGAGTCAGTTACAACGAAATTAGTTAAAATTTAAATGAGGACTAAAAGGCCACATTGAGTAATCACATATTGGGATTTGGCTCAGTTACCGTTTAATTGATGTCAATACAATTAACCATAAGGACATAAACTTTAGTATTTTCATGCACTATTTTAAATATTTCAATTCAGTAGTTTAAACATAGGTATGGGTAAAAAATTACTTTGTTTTGCATAGAGGTTGGATTCTGTAATAGAAAATATTTTCTTAAATAGTATATTGCTTATTTCTGCATGTATAACTATTATTTATTGATTTACTTTATTTGTTCAATTACTATACTTACAAATTATCAATATTAAAGTGGTAGTGTACTTTTTTTTTTCAGTGTTATAATGTCAAACGCTCACAGTCCAACACGATTCCATAGAGAGGCAGATAGTTTTTATGACCAAAATTTTACATTGGACATAAATAAACGTATGCATATTCCAAAAAGTATACGTGTCAATGGTGACTTTACTGATGAAGATATTCCTGGTACAAATGGTTCTAGTTGGAATCAAGTGCAATCCAGTGAAAAGTTTGATATGCACGTTCCAGATAGAATTCTTGTTGTTGGTAAGTTTCATCATTTGCATTGCCTATTATATTTTATGGTAGTTTATACATATTTTCTTCAGTTGAAAATATTATAAAAATAGAATAGACTTTCACAGAAATTCATGTTAATTTAATATTAAAGATCTGTTATAATTAAAATAATTATACAGGATATTTCACTGAAAGCATACACCTTGATTATTTCTGTATATGCGAGAGAAAAGTTGTACGGAGTTGAGGTTCGTTATTGCTGTTTTTTTTTTTATATCTTCCTCATTTTAAGATTGACATGTAACTTTGCCTTTTTAAATAGGATATTGTTTTTTTAGTATAAGAAATTGTATTCTACATTTTCTGAAATGTTCTGAGTGCTTGCAAACCAAATCCATCCAGCCAATACCAACATACTGAGGGTTAAAGTTATAAAGTGGAATTTGGTTATTGACAGTTAAGCCTACAAGAGATGGAGGTTCTCGTGACACTGAAATATTTTCACTCATCTCCATTAATAACAAGAAAAATTAAGGTGTGCACCTTTAGTGAAATACTCTGTATATGTTTGTCTTTACTTGTTCTCATATTTATAAATATTTGCACCAATAATTATTCTAATGTTTTAAGATTATTAAATTAAATGTAATTAAATTTGAATTTGAAAATATAATTAACTATTGTGTGCTTAAATTTCATTTTCATGGTAATTCTATAATAGGGTCAAATACAATATTACTCAAAAGTATTCTTAATAATTTTATATATCTTTTACAATGTACAATTATCTAAGCTTTTATATTGTTTTCTACAATTTTTGTATTAACACAAGTTAAAAATTGTTGATGTATTATATTAGAGCCCTTTGAATGCACATGCTGACTATATAGAACATATAGAGAGTTATTCAGCAATGAAGTTAGCCTATTAACCAGTTACCTGTGTTGCCCTCTTTTAAAAGTGTGTATCTAAATTGTGTTGCAAAAATGAAGGGATGACGAGTATATTCATAGAACAAAGTATGTGCAGTTGCTAAATTAACACTTTCAGTGCTATGAACGCATGTATGTGTTCAGTAAGTATTTAAATTTAAAGAGCTCCACACTCAAAGGGTTAATGAATTAAGTTGTAATGGAATGACTGTTTTATTTTTTTTAAATCAATAATTTTATTACTCACATTTATTTGTTTATTAATTTTAAACATTTTGTAACTTATTTATTCTACACATGAGGTGGTTCTCAAGCTCGTGTGAGTTAGGTGGGTCTGAGCCAATGTCGGTTGTTATAATTTTAAAATAATGACACAAAAGAGTATATTATCCTAAATGGTATACAGATACATAGTCTTAATAGAGGTCCAGCCTGAGAGGTGCTGAATGTTAGTATTATATGACAGTCTTAAAGCTGCACAAAAGAAAATATAAATACGTTAACGGAATGATAACGAGATACAGAAATCTATTAGATACTACTAGTTGCGTGATGAGATAAACATTATTCATTTAGTAATTCACGATAGCGTTAAGATCGTTTCAATAGACTAGGGATACTGAGTCGTGCCAATGAACATCTGTTATAGTATACACTGTGGTCAAAAGGGTTGATTCAGATTGCATAAAAGTTGCGCCGGTGAACAATATCGGGTATTCCTGAATTTGGTTACCGGGTTAACTTGTTGGCTAGGTTAATGGTCGTGCCAATCAACAACTTCCAATAGCTTTGGATGTGCTCAAAGGATTGACGAGAAGAATAGAAAAATTATACGATAGATTGTATGATCGATGGTTAATGATAATACTATTGAAATGAACGGCATATGTCGACGGAAGCGATATAAATGACGATAATAAGACACTGTAGCGTCCCAGTCTAAATGCACTGAAAAAAAGTTGAGAGGTGTCGGTTTGCCACCTTGCTCCACACGGTTTGCGTGTTTTGCGAAAAGTAGTATCTTTACAGAGCAATAGCAAAGGGATCTGTTTGCCTCCCTTGCCCGAGACGGTTTGCTCGTTTATACTTGCTGTAGACTGTCGAGTCTGTCGAGTTTGATTTTGGTGCCCTTTATATACCCTGAGCTTGTGGGCCAGGTGGCCTGAGGAGTGCGGTATTCACCCACGTCACGATGCCTATGTAATATTATTGTTTCTATGTATAAGGTTATTCAGGTAAGCCAAGTTCTATATAGGTGACCTGTATTATTAACAATGAACACGTTACAATATACAGGGTGAACCACGAATCATGATCAGTAGAGATTACTTTGTTATTAGCAGTCCGATCGGAAATGTTTTTATCAGCTTTTACATGGTTTCAAGAGAGCTTTAACGTGATAGTAAAAAATTACTGGTCAACTCTTTTTTTAAATGTTTTTTCAAGGTTACCTTGAATTTTTGGCAACTGAACATATAATTTTTTTACGCCTGTCTGTTAGAGGATTTCAAGACGAATTCGGCACATGTAAGGACATGGTATTTTTTTCATCCGGTTCGAAAGAAAATTAAAAAACTTTGTATCACAAGGAGA